ACTCTTACGTCCCATATTCATGTTCAATCTCCAAGTATCTTTTTGGACAAAATAAACCTTTCTCCAGATACAAGACCTAGTCTTCAAAGAGTTTCTATGCCTTCTTCCCTCAGGGTTCTGCCAAAAGAAAAGGATTGGAAGACAATAGCTCAAGCCAAATCATTAGATCCTGAAGCTGACCCTCAATCTGACATGGGATTTTCTATTCCATGGTCTCATTTTTCTTCTCACAGTTATCTTATGAGGAAGCAGAGATATTACAGGTCATGGAGGTTCCAGTAAAGGAGATGACTTTTCCGCCGTGGTGCACACTGCTTCATCTCAGAGCAAAAGCATGAACCCAAGGCTTCCTCTCCCTAATCCTTCTCTCTCATCTCATTTCCTACTACTCTCTATCTCTTCACTGATTTTCATCATTTTCTTTCCTAAAGAATCATTTTCACAAGTTCAGAACTCACTTTCATAAAAACAGAACTCAATTATTCATTAGTGAGAGAAGCGTTAAGCTGTTAAGACTGACTCAAAACAGAATATGAAAAACAGAGGTATGAATACCAAGACAGATACTAATGTTCCCAAGAACTCACTAATAGATACACAGCTGGTTAATAGCCTATAAGAGTCCAAAAAATGTCCGAGTCATTAAAAAAAGACAAGCTGACTCACCAATAAAAAAGGGAGACTCAAATTCATAAAACCAAGAATAAAAGAAGAAATGTTTCAACTAACATTACATAAATAAAAAAGATTTATAATGGTATATTGTGAACAGCTGTGTACCAAAAAAAAATTTAAACAACTTACATGAAATGCATAAATCCCCAGAAAGATTATAAATTACAAATTACAAATACATGCTCAAGAGACAGAAAATAAATAAATCCATGACACAGAATACAGCTCAGTCAGTTAGTTTTAAACTTACCAAGCATTCAAAGAAAAAATTCACATCAATCTTCAACATTTTTTTCCCAAGCAAGGAGAAGAACAAGGAATACTTCTCAATTTGTTATAGGAGGCCTAAATTATTGGGACCTCATACACAAAGACATCATAAGAAAATGACAGACCAACAACCCTTATTTTTAAAAAAAGGAACAAAAATACTTAGCAGTATACTCCCAGACACCAGCAAATGAAACAGTGCATAAGAAGGAGAAGGCACAAAGCTTGAATGGGACTTATCCTAGAAACGCAAGGCTAATTTAAATGCACCATGTTGTAAAATAAAGGAGTAGCATGCTTATCGACATGCATGCAAAAGAAAATTGACAAAACTTCAACACTGTTACATCACAACTAACAAATGGGACTAGAAAGGAACTTTCTCAACCTGGGGAAACCATTTATGAAAAGATCTATACGTTCACGCCATGCTTAATGATAAAAGACTGAATATTTTCCTGTAAGGTTAGTATCAAAACAACCATGTTCATTCTTGCAACTTTTCCTCATCACGGTGGTGAGGAGCTAGCCAGGACAATAGGCAAGAAGAGGAAATGGTTATGAAAATTTTGGAAGTTAAATTAAGGTGTCAGTGTTGCTTACAATGCTACTAAAAAAAATAAGAGATCAAAATGAAGATAATCAAACACTTAGAAATAGATAAACTATAATAAGAGAACTGGAAGACATCATAGTATGCCACTAAGACAGTTTTAAGATCTAAGATGGCAGAATTATTATGAATGTTCACAGGTCAGAAGACTTAAGATTGCTAAGAAAGCCATGCTCCTTAGCTCCATCTATACATTCAAAATTATCCTTATCATGCTGTCAGCTGATATTTAAATTCAGGTAGAAATGCAAAACACTCAGACAACACTAAAAGCAGTTTTGAAAAATATGAGTAATTTTGAGAACTCCCCAATTTCAGAATTTCCCGTAAATGTATAATAATAAAACTGTGTAGTGCTCACATACAAATGCAGAGATCAATGAGATAAAATTGAGACTCAACAAATAAACCCACACATTTATCATCAATTTCCTTCAACAGAGGTGCAGAGCTAATTCAATAGGGAATGAAAAACCCTTCTGGCAGAGAGACAGCTGAGTCTCCACATGCAAAAGAGTGAATTTGAACCTTTGCCAATTAATATACACAAGAATTGTCTTTTTATTGGTTTTTTTAAATGAGCCTCATTGTGTCGTTTTCATTTATACTTTGTTTTGTTGATCACTTCCTGTAGGAAATGTTTCCTTTTTGTTTTTCCTATCAAAGGTAGCTTTGCTTGCAGAGGGCATTCCATAATTTCCCTTCACCTTTGATCTCCAACACCTAATAAGACTTTCATGCAAACATTTTAATCTCCCCTAATGTGGTGGTTTGAATTGAAATGGCCCCCAAAGTCTCATAGATTTGAATGCTTGGTCCCCAGGGAGTGGCCCTATTAGAAAGTGTGCTTTTCTTGGGGTAGGTGTGGTCTTGTCAGAAGAAGTGTGTCCCTGGTGGTTGGCTTTGGGGTTTCAAAAAGCTCAAGACAACCCTTACTTGTCCTGTCTTTCTCTTCCTGTTACTTGCCAATCCAGATGTAGAACTCTCAGCTCCTTCTCCAGCACCATGTCTACCGGCATGCTGCCATGCTTCCTGCCATGATGATAATGAACTCAACCTCTGAACTGTAAGCCAGCCCCAAATTAAATGTTTTCCTTTCTAAGAGTTGCCATGGTCTTTGTTTCTCTTCATGGCAATAGAATATTGAATAAGATACCTACCTGGTTAATTTTTATTTACACAAAGCCACCTCCCACACCCACTTCTGGAACTTCACAACCTGGAGCTAGGAATCTTTTTCTCCCTTTCCTTCAATTTCTTTGCTCTGATTCTTTAAAATCTAGCCAATTGAGAAAGGCTGTGAGTTTTGGGGAAAGACACAATGTTGTAGAATATTATTTTAAGATGTGTTACATTTGTTTATGCTGTGGAACATTTGTTTAATGATGCAAAGATGTGTTGCATTCTTTTATGTTGCATTTGTTTAACTCTGTGAAGCTGTGTTACTGTACCTGTCTAAAATACCTGATTGGTCTAATAAAGAGCTGAATGGCCAATAGCAAGGCAGGAGAAAGGATAGGCCGGGCTGGCATGAAAAGAGAAGAAATAGAAAGAGAAATCTGGGAGGAGAAAGAAAAAAGAGCGAGTGAACAAGGAGAGGAAGACGCTAGGGACCAGCCACACAGCCACATGCCCCCCCCCCAGGAGTAAGAGTGAAAGTAAGATATACAGAAGTAAGAAAAGGAAAAAGCCCAGAGACAAAAGGTAGATGGGATAATTTAAGAAAAGACAAGCCAAGCTAAGGCCGGGCATTTATAAGAAAGAATAAGTGTGTGATTTAGCTGGGTGGTGGGGGCCCCCAAAAGACCAAAGAGCAAAAGAGTAGAAACAACAACAACAACATCATGACATGTGTTAAACTAAAAACCAAATGCACTTCCTGCACCAGTCTGCTTTCTAGGCCAGCTTGGGTTCCGGAGCATCCTATTGATAAGAAGGAATTGCCCTGCGGCGCTGCTTTCACTTTGTCCCCATGCTCCCGTGCGCTTCTGCATACCTGTGTTTATTCCATGTTGCTTCCTAACACCCCTACACTTCTGTTTCACGTCCCCTTGCCCTCCTCCAGCTCCCCCATCCCACCCCACCCACGTGCATTTCCAAACACAAAAAAAGACTCCGATCTAAATGTAAGAGCGGACACACAAAAACTCACAAAAGAAAACATAGTTTATGTTTTTTTAAGCAACAAGTTCTTTGATGATTTCCTTTCATGTTTCCTTTGAAAGCATAAGCAACAAATGAATACATGTATATATGTACACTTATACATATAAATGTGTATATGTAAAACTGAAAACTTGGTTCTCAAATAATAGGATCCACAAAGATGGGTTTCATAATAGCAGTAAATAACTATAAACCATTTATTTATTTAAGGGTTTCTTCCCAGAATATATATAAAGAATTCTTAAGATGCAAAAATAAGAGAAACATTTTTAACCATAAAAGAATGTGTTGTTCTAAAAAAAAATGCAAAAATGGTCAATTAAACATATGCGAAAATGTTCAGTGTTGTTAGCTATTAAGAAAATGCAAATTGAGACCATACCAAGACATCTTCCACACCCGCTGAAATGGCTTTCTTTTCTACAGGGTAGAATTCAGTTATGTGCCCGTGAAGAGTATTCTTTGTATTTCTTTGGGAAAGATCATTTGTCTCACCATGAGTTGAATTCTAACACGAGAGAACTACCAAGTAACTGAAGCAATAGCAGTTCCATCAGAGAGAACAATGAGGTAATTCCCAGATGATTTCCAGGTTCTAGCGGTCCTTTGAAAGGATGGCTTCATTCACGTGTGCAGGTTTTGGGATTTCTTCCTAATTCAAGCATGTTTTTACCCTATCATCCTGCTGCTTCTCCCCATCTCAGTCTTCCTTTTTTATTTTTATTTATTTCTATCATCCTCACAAAATAACTTCCCTGTTAGGGTTCTAATATGAAATATCCTCCAAAGGTTCGTATGCTTGAACCCTCGCTCCCAGTTAGTTGGCACTCTTTTTGAAGATGGTGGAATTTCTAGGGTAAGTGGTCTAGCTGGTAGAGATGGGCCACCATGGGCTAGGCTTCAAGGTCAATCTGCTTCTGGTTTCAGATGCTGTCTGCTTCCTGGTCTGCCTCCACATGAGGAGTTCTGACACAAGCTCTGGGCACATGGTGTTGCTGCCCCATGTCTTCACCACCATGATGGACCATAGATATGAAATTGTGAGTCAAGATCTATTCCTCTCACATTTCTTCTATCGGTTATCATTTCATCACAGCAATGTGAAAATTAGAAAACTAGCTGTTTCTCAACACACATATATGTTATCTATTGCTAGTTAACAAATCATCCTGAAAATCTGTGGCTTTAAACTATATATATATATAGTATATATATATATAGTATATATATATGATTATCTCAGTTTTTCTAGCTCAGGGACCCGGAGTCAGTTTACCTGGGTGGCCTGGTCCAGGTCCTCATTCCACTGTGGTAAGCTCAGGATGTTGGCAGGAGTTGCAGCCATTTGACAGCTGGACTGGAGCTGGGCGTCTGTTTCCTGAATGGCTCCATTCCACAGGGTTGGCAAGAGTTCCCTACTATTGCCACATGAGCCTCTTTATAAACTGCTTGTGTATTCTCGACATAAGAGCTGACTTGCCCTACAACAAACAACCCAAGAAGAAGAGGTGGGAGATGGCTCTTGAATCACCTGGCTTCTCATTCTTCCTTCTTGTAGAAATCACTAAACCCAGGCACGGCACTCCAGGGGACAGAGGTTAGGACTTACTTTTCAAAGGGAAAGTTAAAAAAATTCTTGGGAAGCCCATTTTAGAGCCTGACAACACACTCCGCATACACAAGTCCTCTTCTCTGGTACGCTATTGCCTTGCTCAATTTGTGTTTTGTATACAACATTATTATCATTCTATCTACTTGCCAATCTTATGACTTAAGACCTATGACAAAGGGTCCATTGCATTTTTCATATTAAATACTCTACACCTAGAATAGTGACAGGTTTATTTTGGCTCAATGACCACCTACCCACCTTCCTGATTAGATAAATGTGATGGAGGTGACAAGTCCCAGGAGCACAGCCAGGCATGGAAACCAGTTACAACGTTTCCAAACTTAATTTATTTCTCACAATTTTATCTTAAAGGAATTCCAATGGTTTAATGGTAAGTCATCATGTGATTCTAGCTGAGGAAACAGGGGCCTTCACAGTCCAGCAAACAAACTCACTCCAGTGGAGGAGGACTCTCTTACTTCTTAGGCTCACACAAACTCTGCTAACCAAAAGTTAGGGACATCTTCCCTTGTTCCACACGGAAATAAGCTAACAACAACAGCAGAATCTCACCTCTCCTCCTCTCAAGAGTCAGCATGGGGCTCTGGGTAGTGGCCTATGTCTATCACCCTCACAGCTCCTCAAGGTCACAAAACATCGGAGTGGCCCAGAGCCAAAGTCTAATGCAAGCACTTTATCTGAGGTTAAGAAGACAAGACCCCACACGATACCTTGCTGATTTCCTCTTATTTATTTGGGATTTAGCAGCATTTTTAAAGCTACATGTTGATGTTCCTTGGCTCTGGAGAATAAGGAAATCCGAATGCAATTAGAAAGCTAATAGCAATGGAAAGTACACAGGATTGGGAAGCCAAAATACATTACTAATTTGCAGAAAGCCTGGTTTTTCCATACCTATAAAAAGGCAGAGTCATACTGATGATGGTAGAGATAACTCCAAATTCCTATTTTGATTGGACTGTGTTAGAAAGCGCAGAGATATCTTAACATCTCTTGAAGAGTCTTTGCCAACTTCTTACCAGAAATGTCAGCGAGCATTGTCACGAGTATTGCATCTCTCTCTCTCTCTCTCTCTCTCTCTCTCTCTCTCTCTCTCTCTCTCTCTCCCTCCCTCCCTCTCTCCCTCCCCCCCTCTTTCTCTCTGCTCTTAGTCCAGGACAACAGGATGGGGACATTGCATGAAAGAAACACCAAACAAAACAACAGCAACAAAACCTGGAAGTATTGATGACAAACCTCCCACTTTAGTACCACAGGAAGCAAGAAACAACTTCAGTAGACAAGCTGCTCCTAGCTCTTTCTTTTCTCTGGGCCACTGTGAGGTCAAGAGCAGCAACTTCTCACACATCAGGCAATGCCATTCCAGGGGCATGTTCAGTCCACCAGCTCATAGCAGGTGTACCATCTGACTTTTCTTCTTGCTGCCCTTCAGCAAGGCTCCAAAATCAAGGACAAAGGAGCCTTGGTCTTTAGGGAGCAGGGGAGCCTCAGGAGCAACCTCATTAACTCCCTTGACCTGTCTGCTGGGACAGACCATGGTGAGGACAGAACATGGACAGAACTCACTATTTTCCCTCTAGTTAATTTTCAGAGGGAACAAACATCTGGGGATTGACCAGCTGTGTGCCTGCCTCTGCAGCAACAGAGCAGATAAGGTAGCTGTGGTAATAAAGAGGAACACACTGTTGAGACCTGCCTCCAGGCAGCTAGCTCCCTCCACTACCATGATGGCAGAAGTGCAGGATGGGAGCCTGTCTCCCTCAGGAATTTCTGGGAAGTCATCCTCACTATAGGTTCGGTTCTGAGGACTGTCAGAATCTAAACAAAACTCTTTTGCCCTACTGAAGGAGGATGAGCTTAAAACACTGGTGACAGAAAGCTTTTTATTTGAGGGACTGTGATCTATATAAGCTGAGACATATTAATTATAAATATTCTATATAATCCTAGATCAGAACCAAAGAAGACTCAGCACCACAGTTCAAGACCTCCCTTGTTTTAGACAAAGAAAAAGCACTTGGAGGTGAACGAATGCATTCACCACAGCAAGAGCACACAGCGGTTCTGAGCACTGGTTATACCACTGGCAGGGTGAAGGAGCCTGGAGAATGGAAGAACACAGCCAAGATCATCGGATTACTGGAAACTGATCAACTTAAGGGGCTTTAGTGACTATTAAATGTCAGGGGCAGGGGTTTGTGATAAAGTAGAGTCCAGGAGGTTCTCACGACTGGTATATTTTTATGTCATTTATCAAAATGACACTGGGGAGGGAATAGGTTAACAGTTTGAGACTCCATATCTCATTTCTGAGAGAAATTCAATTACAATGTCCAGTGAGTAACTAAGCATGTTTCTTAGGGGAAAAGGCTTAAAACAATACGTAGTGACTGTCAAAGTCCTGCGGTGGATAAAGCCTTACAGGAAGAAATTGTAAAAAAGTGAAAATGAACTGGGGATCTGAAGGGGAGCAAAGAGGTTAGGGTCAACTTCCAGCAGGCTCTAGCCAAGGGAAGCCCACTCCGGGATTCAGAGATGAGGAAGCTTATCTAAGTGTTAGCTTAGCTACACACTACAGAACATAACTCTTCCCTAGTCAGAAGAAGGCAGGAACATCTCCAGTCCTCTCGCTTAGTATTGCTCTCCTCAGTCCCCAGGGTGAGGCTTTGAGATTCCAGAAGCCAGTGTTCTCAGCTGGAACCCACGGTAGATGCCTCTAGAATCAAACTCCACTCAGCTTCCCCGTATATTCCATCCACCCCAGTTTTTGTGTCCCATACCAAGAATCTAACACGCAAATATGTCTCTTCAGGCTGGCAGATGACCTGGCATTTATTAAGCCACAGCTACCTGAAGACCTTCTGCTGCTTATAGAAGTTTTGATAGAACCTTGCAGAAATGTGAGGTGAAGAGAAAACACAGGAAAGTGTAGGGACATGAGTAGACACCATTGTGCTTTCGAGCATCCGTTTCTTTCCAAACTTAACAAAGCATCATTGGAAAATAGGCAGTGTTCTTCTGCTTCATGCCTCAGCTCAATCAATCTTGGGAAAATGTGTCCTTTCCCAAGAAATGTCGAATCTCTTAGAGAAGGCAAGCATGAACAGTGAAATAAACAGGTCAGGACATCAGATGAGCTCTGCAAACTGAAGGACCAAGAGTCAGAGGAAGAGGAAAGAAGACTGGGGTGAAAGTTAATGAGATCTGAGCTTTAAACTCAGTCCTGCCTCTAGTGTCAGGTAACCCCATTGAAGAAAAGTTTCCTAAGCAAAATATTGGCCAAACCTGTGTCAGACACCAGCAGCAAGGAATACACCATCCCTAATGAAGTAAAACCCCTGGATGACAGAAATAAAAATGCAGAGTTGCTGTGGAATAATGCTTTTGTACACTGGTTTAATAAAACACTGATTGGCCAGTAGCCAGGCAGGAAGTATAGGCAGGATAAGCAGACAAAGAGAATTCTGGGAAGAGGAAGGCTGAGTGAGGAGGTGTCAGCCCACCGTCCAGAGAGCAGCATGTAATGGCACACAGGTAAAGCCACAGAAAACGTAGCGACATATAGATGAACAGAAATGGGCTGAGTTTAAGTGCAAGTGCTAGTCAGTAGTAAGCCTGAGCTAATGGCTGAGCAGTTTTAATTAATATAAGCCTCTGTGTGTTTACTTGGGTCTGAGCAGCTGCAGGCCGGGAGGGACGCAGGAAAACTTTGAGATACAGAGAATTAACAGAGGGAAAGTGTTGTTGGATGAAGGAGGAGTGAAATTTGAAGGTGAAAATGAATTTTAAGACGCATCATTCATAGGCAATGTCTTATGTAACAGCCCCCCTTGGGCAAAGCACAGAGACAGAAGGAAGATGGTGGAAAAGCCCCAAGCTCTCTTTTTTTACCATCAGACGGAAACACATGGACAGGAAGAGGCCCTAGAGCTGGAGATGTGAGAAGCAGCTGAGCAAGCAGACCCACCTGTGCACTTAGGCCAAGGGGACCCAGGGGAGGCTCTACCCTATGAAGAGAGGGAAACCGGTCTTTGTAAAAGTCAGATCATGTTCAGTACTGCTGACCGAGCAGAAGGAGGGATGTGAGAACCTGGGAGGCCACTAAGTCAGCTGCCTCCGCCACTCACTTTCTAGGGGGTTTGTTTTCATTGACTTAAGAGAGACTGAGCCAACTGATATCACAAGACTCCAGGCTGTTATGACATTCTGTTCAAAGTTTAACTACATGAGGCAATTCTTACAAGAGGAATACACCACACTGGGAGAAATTGGCAGTGACTGTGTGTGTATGCACATGAGTATCTATTTGTCTGTGTGTTGTATGTGTGTCTACATACACACACATGTAGAGGCCAGAGGTTGATGTCAGGTGTCTTTCTCTACCACTTCCCACCTTACTTTTTGAGACAGGGTCTCTCAATGAACCTCAAGATCACCGATTCAGAAAGACTGGCCCGTTAGCCCCCAAGAATCTGCCTGTCTCTACTTACCCAGTGCTAGGATCACAGGGGTACACCACCACACCCGTCCCTTCACATTTAAGAAAAAATGCCAGCTTTTCTTTGTGTTACTGTGATGCTGGGAAATTGAACGCAGGGCTACACACTTTACTGACAGGACCATTTTCCCAGCTCTCTGTGTTATTTTTTTTAAATTGTATTATAAAATTTTTCCCAACAATTCATATTATTGTTAAGATTGCTTAAGTACAAAAGTCACATCTTTCTAATTTTCCCTGTGTCTAATGTCAAGTAGGATCAGATGTATTCGAGGGTCCTAAAGACAACTGTCACAAAAAACAAGCACAAGAGACTTGGGTATTTAGTAAACAGGT